GCCCAAAACTACACCCAGTACTCAAGGTGAGGCTGCACCAGAGCAGAGCAGGATGATCACCTCCCTCGAGTGGCTCGCAGTGCAGTGCTGGATGCCCCCCAGGACACAGTTGGCCCTCCTGGCTGCCAGGACACACTGTTGGCTCATGTCCAGCTTGCCATCGACCAGGACCCCCAGGTCCCTCTCTACAGGGCTGCTCTCCAGCCTCTCCTTCTCCAGTCTGTACGTGTGTCCAGGGTGGCCGTGTCACAGGTGCAAAATCCAGCACATGCCCTTATTAAAATTCACACAGTTGGTGATTGCCCAGCTCTCATTTATCTGGATCTCCCTGCAGGGCTCATAACCTTGGCTTATTCTTCTAGACCTGTAAAATATGATGTCCTTCAGGGCTTATACACTGCATTTCCTGCAATATTACCTCCTTGCTGATTTCAGCCAGGATTTCCAAATAAACCCTCAGCAAATACAGTTGTTGAGTGGACAAGGAAGAGAAGGGGAAAAAAATAAAGGTAAGAGGATGAAGATAACAGGTAAGTGTTAAATACATGTAAAACCAACATGCAGTACATTGTGAGCTATAGCTTGAGCTTCTTTGGCATGAAATACTCCCTTATGACAAGCCCATTCAGAGGCCATCTTCTGGTGCTGCTGGCATCGCCCTGCCTATGCAGGGAGCCTGGCTGCATGTGTGGCTGCCCTCTGCTGCAGGCTGGGCCCAGGCCCTAAAAACTGGTGTGCTTGTCCTGTCTTCTGAAGGGAGTCAGAAAGGAGATGTGACAGACTAGAAACAAAGCCAGCAAGCTTCTTGTGCAGAGAAAAGGAATATTTGGTACCTTAACACTTTCATTTTTTTAAGTGTTTAAGTTGACAGGCACTTAAAGGAACAAATCCTCAAGTGTTTCATTTTCTAAAGGAGAAAAAAAAAATTAGACTTGAGCGCTGGCTTGTGGCAGTTAAGGGAGTTTACAGCAGTTTTGTCCTCCATCATTTATTACAAATAGTGGCATTTAGCATTTTGTATTCTTTATCCCCACAGGAAATGTATTTTCTGCAAGGCACTGCTGTAATGTAGAAAGGCACAAATTGCTTCTTACAGATGCAATGTGTTCTTTGGCAAGTCAGTCCATCTGGAATGACTAATTCAGCCTACAGGGAAGAGTTCATGGTTTCAACTCACCAGCTTGTATCTGGACAGACTTCTCAGCCCTTTGCATGGGGTTTGGTAGTCATCCTTGCAGGACAGGCACAGAGTAGCAGCATACCCAAAATCCCATTTTGTTTTTATTTATGTAACAGGAATTTGGGTCCTTGTACTGCTCTCAGGTTTACTTTAGTAGTTACTTCTGGCACCTCATTTATTTTTGCTGAAGCTGCTTATCTTTCTAGAACTAGCACATTCTGAACCAAATGTTAATGTTTTAAAATTCTTAGAAAAACCTTTCAGGAAACTAGCAATACAGCACAATTTAAAGAAACCCAAACAAACAAACAAACAACCCCCCAGAAAACGAATGCAGTGAAAGATCCACATATAAAAAAAACCACCCCACAGTATAAGTCATTCTTGCACTGCATGTTAATTATGAAAAAGATGCTATTGTAATAAATTCTATCGAGATGTAAGAGTGTCTTTGAAGCGGATAGAAATGAAAAACAGGTTGAAATAGCCACAGCTGATAAATAAAGCTGGACCACTAACCATTATGTAAGCTTTGACAAACAATCCAGTATTGCTTCATGTATTTCTAGTTTAAAATCAAAAGAGACTACTGGCTTACCTCATCCAATCTCTTCAACAATAAAGACAACTGAACTACACCACATTAGCCTTACACTGACTCCAATCTGTCTAAAGTGTGCCTTCTAGGAAACCACCTGGTGTTGTTTGGCAGACATTAGGGGGATGTGTGATACATTAACTTCCTCACTTTTAAAAACGTTTCTCTTCCTAAGTACTAACCAGTTGTACCCCATTTTTAAGTTTTTGGACAGAGCTTTTTGTCACTTCATTGGAAAGGAAAGGGTTTTTTTATTCCTCCTTTAAAAAAATGTAATGCAGACTGTTACCTCAAATAGGATAAAAACCTTTATTGTTCCACCTTTGTCAGAGTTCATTTTCTATTCATATGGACTTCTGTAACTGTAGTTTACATCAGAAACTTCAGCTCCTTAGGGACTTAATGTGGAGTAGCAAAAAACCTTCAAAACCAATTCAATCCCATGTCTTCAAGTAATATACCACTTGGGCACAAGGAATATCTAGGATCAGAATCAGTTAGATCTTCCACCTCCTCCCTTTCCAAGGAATATCTAGGATCAGAATCAGTTAGATCTTCCACCTCCTCCCTTTCCTGTGTTCTTTGTCCTCATTTCATGCCAGGCTTTCACCAGTGGTTCTCTGTTCTTCCATATCAGCTCATGGCCATAAGTCACATACCACCTGAGAAAGAAAACACTAGTTAAAATTAACTGCAACCTTTTTCTGTATCTGAGGAACAGGCTGATCACTAAAATCAAGTAACTCAAATGCTTAGTATACAAGACAAGATAAACTGAGGTAGAAAGAACAATATTCTTGGAAAATGGCAGTGGCAGGTAAGCCACTTGTTCTCTTGACTCCTAATAGTTAACAACTTTGTGTTCTTGCTTGTCTCAGTCCTGAAAATGAATGGTTTTCATGTCTTTAATTTCATGCTCTCACAATTTGTACCTAAAAGATGCAAAAAACAATTTCCATTTAAGAGACTAACAGTACTGTTGCTTGTGCTAATTCTTACTGACAACACCAAGTAAAAGTATTTTTCTCATATGTAAATACAACTGCCTCATAATGAGCAGCCACATTCCATTCAAAGTGAATTTCTATCTATAAACATCTAAATGAAGATTTAATCTATCAAAGTGTTCTAGCTTAATTTATATTCATAGAGAACTATACATGCTCATATATGAATATCAACGTAAGTGATTAAGCAAGGGAGGTTATGGTGCAGAGGAGAGGCGGAGGAAAAGCAACTACATGGAAATAGGCTGAAGGTTCTCCTACAAACCTAACTTCACACCTGAGTCCTGAATAACAAAAGCACTTTTATATGAGCCATCAGCCAGGTAAACCGGCCATTCTTTGAAAGCATAAAGATGCTTTCTGAAGGGACAACTGTCTGTGAGGCAATGTATAGAAAACACTTTGTTTGTTCAACATATGTACTAAATAGAGGCCCTGTTTTAGGATGAAGTGACTGAAATGATGACAGAGTGGAAGATATAGGTAGAATATATGTAGGTGAGGAAGGCAAGACACTTGTCAACTCAAGACCATTTTTACTGCAATAGCTATCCTACTTCAATAATAAGTGAATCTGCATTATAATGAACAAGCTGAGACAGATACATCAAGGTGGAAAGTAGTTACGAATCAGCAAGACCACATCAAATCCATTTGTAATGACAGAGAAGGGAAGAAAAGGAGACTATGCAACACAGAACTTACTGACACCAAAGCCAAGAAATAGCAAATAAAGGAAAATCAGTTTGCAGACCAAAATAAGTGTTCTTCACCTGTTCTTTGTCTAGCCTAGTTAAATCTCAGGTAGGCTTTTAAAATGCCTACATAAAATGTTTAAAAATGCTCTTGGCAATAAGTGTGCAAGTTAAGACAACACTGCAATCGGGTAGAGGGGAAAAACTCATTAGGTAATGTAGTTCAAACTCAGAACAGTGCAGAAACACTTCTTACAAAGTGTTTTCTAGTAGTTCTTCCCAATTAGGAAGGCTCCACACAAAGACAACACAGCAACCCTGAGAAACAGCAGCAGAGGCTGCTCAAAAGAATTTGTCCTGAGCATATACTAACTATGTATCTCTCTCTAAATTGGCAATTAGAGGAAAAACACTGAGACAAAGAAATTTTCTTAGCCTTTAATTCTAAAGTTATTTTAATTTGTCCATGCGGTATTTTGTGATAATTTTTTCTGCCTTGTGACTTTCTTCAATGCACTGGGGAGAGCAGGACAGAGACAGCCGGCCCAGGTTATGGGGACAGGACAATCTGACATCTAATCTATCATTCTAAGGCAGTTAATCTTTCTTTCAGTTCTAAGCATCTGTTAACAGTATTTTCCACACAATTTTGTATCACTACAAGGGTAACAGTGAGTTGTCTTCAATGCTACTTAAGACAACTTTCTGAAAAACCCCTAGACTTCAGAGGTAAGAGGAAAAAATACAGGATGAATTTAAATATGAAACAAACAGAAGTTAGTAAATACATACTTACATTCCAAAGAGAGCTCCCCCAAGATGTGCAGCATGGTCAAAAAGTCTCCAGCCTAGAGCAAGCCCTGCAGTGTCAAATGCAATTATGGCTTTTAAAGCCTGGAAAGCAATAGAACATGGAATGGACAGGATCAGTCACAGCATGTCAGCATGTAATGGCCGGTAACAACAGAGTTTCATATCCTGGCACAGAGCAAAAATTTTGGATCAAAAAAATCCCCAAAGTTTTATATCAAAGCAAGCACTGTAAAAAAAAAAAAAAAAAAAAAAAATTAAAGCAACAGACTCGGTCCTTAGCTGTACTGTGCTGTCAAAATACAGACAGGAGCAGCTCCAGAATAGTGCAGGGTAGGAATGTGTCCTTTTCAAATACCCTGTCTCTTCCAATCTTCATTTCTAAAGCTACATGCACATTCTGAACCCAGGTCAGGAAAGAAAAAAGGAAGTTACTCAAAAGAGTACATGCTATAAAAGGCACCACAAAATCCATAATTGCAATGTTCTCATTCACTAATTCTGACATAGCTTAGATGTATGTGCACCTGTCCTCCCAAATACAACCCTCCAGTGGATGGAATATGTGGAGCACCATCCCTGTCATCTTATCTGATAGAAACCTCACACTCTCCTAAATGACACGTCTGTTGGAAGGTAGAAAAGCAGCATGATAGCGAATGACTCCATGGCCAGAAACAGCATGAGCAACAGTACACCATCCTCAGGAGACACCAACCACCATAACTGTAACTATCCAAAATTCTACTAAATGCCTTATTACATAAAGACCAACAGATTAAATGTTAGGATGAAATGTTACTTTAAGTAGGATTTATCTCCTTAAGCTTCTTAGAATAGCAGCTATATTGCTACATTGGCTTGTTTATTTTAAAAGCCAATTACAGTATATGTAAGATAGGCTAAAGGAGTACATAAAGTTTAGAAATACAATTACATAGCAGGGCTAAAATTACTTAGTGCTAAAGTTATTTCAACATTTATACTGCAATAGCCAATATTGCTCTCATTTTACTGTTGAAATGAGTACTTCCTCATGGCAATACTCTCCGTGGCTCTGCCAATATACTTCTATGCTGGCAATCTTTTTTTAGGAAAGATGCAGTCAAAGGGTAGTATGCAAAAAAACAGGTCCACTCAAGCAGAAGTGCAAGAAAAACATGAAGGCTACATCTAAAAACACTTGTCCAAATCTGTAAGCTTCACTTACAAAAAATATTAAACCTCATGATCTTGAAATGACAAAACTTAACTGCTTTAAGTAAAACAGTAAAACAACTTTAAGTAGTGGACCAAAGATTATTAACTTACTAAAGTAAGGCAAGATATACACAAGAAGCTTTTCTTAAATGGGGTAATGGATCTGCTTAAAAGAACTTAATGAAACAAAAAAAGAGTCCTGGGACTACACATGAAGAACAGCCTCAGTAATTTATTTCTAATTCCAACAGTGTTCTAAAAGTATCCAAATGAGGAAGCAGGTATTCCTCCAGGGCTGGAATGTTGTTTCCTTTGAGAAGTGAAATTCTATTTTTCCCATCTTGCTAAGTTTTTCTTCAAAAAGCGTGTATCAGTATTAGATTAGCCTGTAACAAGTGCTGCTATAAAAAATATCGTCCATCAGTAAGAACAGTGTATGTATGCACGTTTCCTCAGACAGGTAAATTAATATGCCTCCCAAATTCTTTCACCTCTCAGTAAGATACCTGAAACAGATCCATGGAGGATGGAATTTAAGATAATTCTAACTCTACTACATGCTGGTGTAATGACCATGCTAGGCTGCAGCAATTCAGAACCAGCCTTCAGGACTTCCATGACCTGTATTGTCTTTTATATACATGTAACAGCTTAGAAACACAAACAAAGAGGATACATGCTCAGATACTGGAGAAGTATGGGGAAAATGTTTTAAGAGTAGGATTTCTTTGAAGCTCAAAGGCACTTACATTTCCTGCTGTAAATGTGAACACTGGAAGAAATATGATGGCTAATTTTGCTTCTGGCATCTTTGTACATACGGCTGCAAGGACAGTCATTATAGCTCCTGACTGTAAATACATTAAAACACATTAAAGTAAACTGAGTCGTTACATAAGGAAAAATTTCATTTTTCTGCATGTGAACCCTGTTTTCCTTTCGGCTTTTATTTTCAAATGCAACCCCGTGCTAAACCTCAAAGTACCACAGCAAAGTTTGGAATAAAAATAAAATAAGACACCATTATTAAATTTCAATATCTAAAATTATAAGTATTGGAAAAAATACCCCTCAGATGCTCTTATATAATTAATATTCCGCCCTGATTTTTAAGATAGCAATTTATGTTAATATGCTTTCCACCACTCCCCTCCCTCCCCCCTTAAATCCTAAAAACCTAACATATATTAAATGAACAGAGATATCTCAGATGAAGGGAATAATTCTGAAGCTTGTACAAGACCAAGGAAAATAACAGATGGGCAGGGACAAAAAATCTTTTGTCAATGAAACAAGTAATTCCCTGATCTGTACCAAATTGACTATGGGCTTTTGTATCTGTGAAATATCTTGATAGAAACACTGTGAATACAGGAAACTAATGCAACATGTAGCAATTTCAGTAAGTTCAGATCAACAAAACTAATGGAAAGTAGCTTGCTTCAGATATAGTTTGCTGACAATACATAGACAGCACTACCAAAAATTCTAGCTTAGGAACTGCTCAACATATTTTTTTCATTCCAATTGAGAAATAAGAATCTGACTTTGGCTTTTATAAAAAATATTTAGTAAATAAGTCTTTAAATCTTGGCAAATGGCTAAGTTATAGCCTCAAACCTAAAGCAAGTGAAGTGTTTTAAAACACTCTACTACTAAAAAGACTTTTAAAGAATGGACAACCACAACACCTCCTCAGCCTGCCTCATATCTTTCATGCTGCGAGACTTCTGGCCAAAGTGCTGCACTTTCTGCACAGCATGCCCTACAACTTCCACTAGTATCACAAGCTGATTTTGTTTGATCACATTATCTCTTTCTGAAGTATTCTATTTTCAATTAGAGAAGACTGTGATACACAATTATTCAATAACATTTATGAAGTAAGTTAGTGAACTATCTGCTCAGTGACAAGAGGTCCTGCTGTTAAGTACTCATCTACAAGCCATTAGCATTAAGTGGCATTAGTTCTGGGCTGCTGCAACACGAGTTAACATACTTGAAGAATAGGGAAGTTCTTACACAGGAATCACTGCATGGTTACTTGGTTTTGGTAAACTTTCCTGGTTTCCACTATCCCAATATATTCCTGGCTTTTAAGCAGGTCAAAGAATACAACAGGCTTTGAAAATGGCTTCAGAGATCATTATTAGGTCTCTCATATTCTGAGATACTTACAGCTCCAAGGGATGGTTCAAACCTTCCAGTGGCCATTTTAGCAACATAACTGACAAAAGTAGAGATAACCCCTAGAAAGGAAAAAATATTTTATTAGAAACAATGACAGCAGTGCAGACAAGGATCAGAAAGTACAACAATGTTATCTGTGCATCTTCCTAAAGAAGCTAGTGTAGGTGTTACGGTTTATTTTTCTGTTTGGTGCTTTTTAGGGGGAGCTGGTGTTTGTTTTAACTTGAATTAATTTTCCCATGAAACTCCCATGAGGCTGTATTAAGAGCTATTTTGTTCTGGTAGCTAAGTACAACTTAAAAGCAGGTACTTGTGCTGTCATGATATATATCCTAACCCCACCAAAATTCTGTATGACATCAAATGAGTACTGCAGTTAGTATAGAGCAATGTGTGGGATTAAAGGATGGCCATCTGTCATCATACAGCTATTAACCATGTGCATGCTTTACTTGCATGAATATATATATTTATATTTATTCAAGTGTTGTAAATATATATATATATATTTAACATTACCAGCAGAAAGATATACTGCAATGAACTGCTCACATCCCAGAAGAGAGACAATGCTGCTGGAAAAACTCCATAAAACATACATATTTGCTGCCATGTGGAATAGAGAGAAGTGACTAAATGTAGAGAGCAGCATGGGAGAACACAGGGCTCCTAGGAAAGAGAAAAACAATGGCAAAAAAAAAATCAGTTTTAATTTGCTTCAACTTACATGTCATGAAGACTAAAAATTTATCAAGACATACTATAGGCTAACTATGCTTAGGATTCTCAAATACAAGCTATGTAATAAACCCAGAAATGTAACAAATTTCAAATTCCATGCAATACCTTTTGAAAGGTAGAGCATACACCCCAGAGATATGCAAGCTGTACAAACAGCTACTTTAGAAAGTCTTAATTACCTATTGGGGAATGTTTCACATTTATCTTGTGACAAGTCTCCTATGCTTTGGAAAGGAAAAAAGAGACTTTATTTATATAGGTATACAGTGAGAGATTTTTAATATATTATATGAGCATCTACATAAAATTATTTTGCTACAGAGATGGACTTACAAAGAAAAACTTGTTTTCTTTTCAAAAACCTACTAGCTCTTCTCACTGAAACAGCAGCCTTGAAAATATAAAAAAGCCAATTAGCAGGTTTAAAGGTCAACAGTATTTAAAGCAGGAGTGTTTGGGGTGACTGAGGCTAAGATCTGGGTAACAGTTATCTTTAGCTTTGGAGTGTGTGGGGGGAATTGGTTGAATTTCCACTTTTTCAGCAGGAGAGGATAGCAGAAAGTACTCTCCTAACATATGCTTGTCTCATCCTTTTAATGTTTTAGTCTACTGTAGAAATGAAAACTAACTGTTCTGCCATTAAATACTGGTAACTTGCTTTCCTAAGTTAACCTCTTCAAAACATTTCACACACAGTGAAAACCAAGGTTTTTTGCAGGGGTTTTTTTTGCATGGGTTTTTTTTTTTTCCCCTAATGTGACCTAAAGCACAGCTTTGAAACAAGGGCTCTGTACATAACACACAGACTAATGCTTGTCTATTGATGAAGGCACACATGCATGAGGCTGATGACTGCTCTATCTGCATCCCACAGAACACAAAAGGAAGGAAAAAAACCACCACGTTTGAGACTAGTTTTTGAATGGCATTACATAGCACAATTTATCTTCCTCCTTCCCGAAGACTAGCCTGATTTGCATTCTTTACAGGAAAGCAGTGATACCACTTAGAGAAGTGCCTCTTCACCTTTACAAAGGCATGAGCTGCATCCCACTGAATGTACTAAAAGGCCAGAAAGCAGGCAACAGTTTTGACATGACAACATTTAGAAAAGCATCATTGAGGGTTTTTTCTTAATCCATTACTTCTAACTTTTTTTCCCCTAGAAGTGTTTTCTGTCTAGACAAAATTATGTATGTGGGCATGCCAGACTGCTTGTGGGTGATGGAGCTGCAAGTAAGCTACGTGCCATCCGAAGCTTCTGCAGTAAGATCAGAGGTTCTGTTACATCCCAACGTAGAGAAGTCCCACAAATTACTGTTCACTTACTGGAGGATGGATCTGAGGTGAAATATGTAAACATGATCCGTCGCATACCAGGCAGCCTCCATAAACAGAATACAAAGACATTTGCAGCTATAATACCTATTAAGAGGTAAAAACAGTATAAAAGCAAATTATGAATGTAACACACCATAATGCTTACTGTAAACAAGCATTCAAAACTAAGCTTGGAAGAATCATGCTTTTTCATCACTATTTCATTAAATGCAGTATCTGCTTCTTACTTTGTAAAGAGTTTAGAAAAAAGCAAAGAAAAATGTGACATTAAATTGCAACTGTTCTAATATACGACGTAACAAATGAATGCATGCAATGATCCAGAAAATCTGAACTTAAGACATTCAAGCTATGGTTTCAAACTTCTGTTCCACTGCAGAACCAATGAAACAAAAGTCAGCTTAAGAGGTCTCATTTCTTGCTTCTCTAGCTACTTATTCTCAAACACCACCAGTCTGCTGCACAGTTGCATCTGACTGCACACAGAGGTTAGGGAAGCATACAGACACGCAGTACCCGTCCCCTCCATTTTCTGGGGAGGCTTGGTTTTGAGGTAATTATAAAGATACTGTTCAGAGATCGAGCACAGAAAGTTGAATTGGCATCGCGAAAGCATAGTTACCTTTGGGAAACAGGAAACACACAACTTTTTTACTTCACAGATGTTTATTGTAATCTTATTTCAGTTTAAATAAGAACGTAAATAATTAGAAACGTAATGATGCAACGTTATTGTTTCTTGTTTAAAGCACCTTCTCTATTTCTATGCCAGCATTCAGGTATTTAAAATGTTTTATAATAGCTAGAACACTAAAGGGGAAACTTTAGATAATGGTAGAAGTCACAAAATTCTCTATTTGAAGTTTGCTACAAAATATAAGAACTGTGAAAAACTATGACACATAAATTCCAGAACCAAAATTTAAATAGATCTCTTCTTCTGGCAACCTATCCTGTTCCACCATGCTCTCTTTTATTAAAGGAAATATTTTCCCTACATGCTACACCAAGATGTTACAGAACTCTCAGCAATTTCAGTACGTAAGCCCAACCCTGTTATGGCAATCAGGGTAAATATCTGAAGGGCTCGGGTCTACCAGCTAGAATTTATATTTCTGGTTAGATTACCTTAATGTTGAGGGATGCTCTAGGGACTACAGAACATGAATCTTCATCCCCCGCCCCGCTGCAATGCAGTATTTGTATCTGTATTGTGACTTGGTTTGCATGTTGAAGACCAATTCAAAACACTGTACAAAACTTCTTGAGAGGACTTGTTAGCGTGAAGAATATATAAGAACAGATATGGCTTAGCAACTTTATTTTGATTTTAATCAAGTTCTCATCAATTTCTCTCCACAGAGGACATTTATCTTGCGGGTTTCAAGTGATGTTAGGCTAACCAATCAAAACTACATCATAACCAAAGGAAAGCTGACAAGATAGTTGCTTCTTGTTTAGAAGAAGTGGAATATATACTCATATTCCTTCTAAAAGCATTTGCTGTTTTTCACAGTTTCTGAGAAAAATGTTGCCGGGGGAAGATTCTAGCTAATCCTCCACACTCTCTCACACAGATGCATAGGCATTTTTTTAATGCATACAAAAAACAGTTTGTGAGAAGGAAGCGTAGCAGAACTAGTGGATGTGCAGGTGTAAGTTTACAAATATTTTGTGGCTAACTACCTAAACGTGGTACAAAAGCCACCTGTTTTAACATACTGTACCTGTTTGCCATATTTCTCTTCCTGTGAATGTCTAATACTTTCAAGCTAACACAAACCTGTCACAGTCCGCTGACCCTCAGTCAGGTTATTCCACCAGCTGTTAACCTGAAATGGAATTGCTGTACATCAGTGCCACTGCAGAGTATTTGCAATTTCAAAAATAGTCACACAAGGTTCTACCTTTTTAAGAATGGAAAGCATTTGTCTGAAATCTGTTAAGTAAGTAAGTTCCCAACTTTTTTATTTCTGATTGGTTTAGCTTTTAAAGTTGGCATTTCCTTACTCAAAAATAGTTATCTAGCCTCCTTTTCATAAAATATCCCAACACAGATGAAGACTTTCTTCCAAAAGAATGCAATTATATCCTTTTAGACAACTCCACCGGTTTACCTCTGCTTGTACTAAACAACAATCCAGCCCATAATGCTTACTTTAGCAGATTAGCCAAAGTTAGCACAAACCCTGCCCCAACTAAGCCTCACCCTAATGCTGTCTAACATCACACCACCCACCTTTGAGAGATTCCACTTTTGTGCCAGGGTCCCTTTTGCAGAGGTGGCTCACAAGATGTGGAATCCATTCCCCCTTGCGTCCAGCTCACCCAGCCCTCCTCCAAGTTTAAAACCCCTGAAAAAGTTTATTTTGAGCGCAGTCAGCCCACAAACAAATTCCACCCTCCTTTCCCTTCCTCAGCGTTCAGAATAATTCTGGACAAATACTTTATTGATAGCTCAACAACCTTCCAACCAGATTGATGGGGATAACGTCATAAAAATTGTCTGTAGGTTGCAGGTGGGGGAAATAATGCTGTACGAAACAAATAATTCACTATTTGATATCAAAGTAACAACTTCATTGCATTTTTTTGTTTAATTCTCTGGCACAGGATACAGATACTGGTATTTCCTACAAAGTTCTCCAGTATAAGAACACCAAACAAATATGATTTTTCTAAAATACAAGAAGTAGATGCCCTCAGAAGCTATTGGGGGATCCTGAACTTTTAGAAATAAAACTTACCAGCTGAAGATGGGCATTGGGAGTTTAAGCCTATTAACAACAGGGCAGTTTTGTTTTAATTCTTTGGATAGTTAATCACCAGATCTTCCCCTTCAGGTTTTGAAGGAAAACAAAAGTATAAACACAAATTATTTAAAATATTAAGTGGCAATCATAGTTTCACCTACAGTTCATATACACCAAGCAATAAAGCATGCTGTACTGGGTCTGGCTAGGATAGAGTTAAATTTTCTTTACAGCAGCTCATACATGGTGCTGTGTTTTAGATTTTTTTTTTTTTTTGGCCAATAGATTACTGATAACACACTAATGCTCTAGCTTTTGCTGAACAGTGTTTGCACAGCATCAAGACCTTTTCCACTTCTCATTCTGCCCCTGCAGGGACTAGAATGGGGGTGCACAATAAGCTGAAAAGGGGACACAACCAAGCAGATGACCTGAACTAACCAAAGAGATATTCCCTACCATATAATGTCATGCTCAGCAGTAAGAGGGAAAATAGGAGACTTTAGGAGGTTTAACCATCTTTTGCTCATGAACTGTCAGGGCATTAGTCTGCCCACAGGAGATGGTGAGTGACTGCCTTTGCATCACTTGTTTTCTTCTCTCTTCTTCCACTTATCCTTCACTTTTTAAACAATTTTTTAGTCGTTTTTTTCTTTACCCTCAAGTTTTCTTGCTTCTACTCTTCCTTTCCTCTTTCACCATCCCACTGGGGGTTTGTGAAGGAAGTGAGCAAGCAGCTGTGTGGTGCTTAGCTGCCCACCTACAACACATGTCCACTTTGAAAGAAGTACCACAGTGCACATAATATACATTAAAAACACAGCTCCTCTGTGTCCTGCCCAGGACCCTGTGCTTCTTCAGCTCGACACTCAACCCTGCTTCCCTTGGATGAGCAGACCTGAAAGAGTAATCAAGCCTGGTCTATCACAAGCCACAGTAGTGACCTTGAAACAAACACAATGCATACACGTGTTTAGTTCAGTTTTAAATATGCTTAATTGAAAACTTAATGACTGACAATTTCGGGATGTCAACTAAATTTATAACAAGTCTTGCACTACTTATATCGTTTTTACTGCCCAAATGCCAAAGTATTTGCAGGAAAATGTCAGCTCTCAAAGAAAAAAGCCTTCTAAGCCCCCATATTTGTGAAATACAGGTTGAAAATATGAATGTATTTCAGAAGCCAAAGCATTAAAAAAATTTATGCTTCGGCTTCAGAATTTAAGCTACCTCTGTCCTCTTTCAGAGTTCATGTTCACTGCTGAGAACACTTAGAAATTTTTTTATAGTAAAAGGTACTTAGTTTAGCTATATAAACTACTACTACTGCCCTCTCTTCCCCGCACTTCAGGGTGAAGATGGTATTTTTCTCCAGTGTAGCTTTTGCAGTGATATTGAGTGATACTGTGAGTTACTGTTTTATAGAAGGCTCTCTATCATGTTTTCTTGTAAGGAAATGTATCTACTGTTATTTGCTTATAACTTATTATTTCTCCAAGTCAAAAATCGGGATAAACAGGGCGAGTATCTGTTGTACACAAGGTGCACCAGAGGAAAGACAGGGTCATGTTCCACGCTCCCGCAGGGACCCACCCGTGCGCGAACAGGCCGGGCCTGGCCCCGTGTACCTGCTTTCGGAAGTCCCCCCTCTTCTGCGGCCGTATTTTATCCAACCAGTCCGCTCGAGCTTCCTCAAAATAGGTCTGGACCCGCGACTTGAGCGACTCATA